AACAATTCTATCGTGGTGATGGTGAAGGCAAAAAGGTGCGATATAACAATTATAATAACAATTCATATTAGTTTTTAATTTAAATAATAATTTGCATTATTAACAAAATAATATTAAATTTTTATCATTGAATTTAAGGTCATGTCTATTCTTCTGCATGGTGATGCTGCATTTTGTGGACAGGGTATCGTTTTTGAAACAATGCACTTATCAGATTTGCCTGATTACACAACTCATGGTACTATTCATATTGTGGTGAATAATCAAATTGGATTTACAACAGATCCAAGACATTCACGATCTTCTCCATACTGTACTGGTAAATATTACATATAAAAAGTAATATTTTCATATCTTAAAGTTTATTTATAAGTTAATGATTTAAATTAATAATTAAATTTCATTTAATTATTTTTAATTTTTAAAAGATGTTGCAAGAGTAGTGAATGCACCTATCTTCCATGTTAATTCGGATGATCCTGAGGCAGTGATGCATGTTTGCAAAGTTGCTGCAGAATGGAGAGCAACTTTTCACAAAGATGTTGTTATTGATATTGTATCATATAGACGAAATGGTCATAATGAAATTGATGAACCTATGTTTACACAACCTTTAATGTATCGCAAAATTAAAAATACTCCACCAGTTCTAGACAAATATGCTAAAACTCTTATTGATGATGGTGTTGTCACTTCTGAAGAAGTTAAGGTATTGACATAAAACATTTTAATTATTTGAGTATATGTGATGGAATTATTACGGGATATAAATAATATAATATTAATATAATATTATTGCAGGATGTTAAAGATAAATATGAAAAAATCTGTGAAGAAGCATATGTGAATGCTAAACAAGAAACGCATATTAAGTATAAAGACTGGTTGGATTCTCCATGGTCTGGTTTTTTTGAAGGAAAAGATCCTTTGAAAGTATCTCCCACTGGTATTAAAGAAGACACACTCATTCATATTGGAAAAAAATTCTCATCACCACCACCCAATGCAGCAGAATTTGTAGTTCATAAAGGTAAATATATTTTTTAATGATTTTAATATATATAGAATATATTATATATATATATATAGAAGTAATATTAAATAATTCAAAATATATAAATATTAAATAGGTATCGAACGTATTTTGAAATCTCGTATGGAAATGATAGAAGCTCGAACAGTTGATTGGGCTCTTGGAGAAGCTATGGCTTTTGGTTCTTTACTTAAAGAGGGCATTCATGTTAGATTGTCAGGTCAAGATGTAGAAAGAGGAACTTTTTCACATAGACATCATGTTCTTCATCATCAAACTGTAGATAAAGCTACTTATAGACCGTTATGTTATCTTTATCCAGATCAAGCTCCATATACTGTGTGCAATAGTTCTTTATCAGAGTTTGGTGTTCTTGGTAAAAATATTAAAATATTTCTTACATTGATTTTGTATATATTATATTTTGATGATATTATTAATTTTTGTATTTAAAATTTTTTAATTTTCAGGATTTGAATTAGGTTATTCTATGACAAATCCTAATGCATTAGTATGCTGGGAAGCACAATTTGGTGATTTCAATAATACAGCACAATGCATAATCGATCAATTTATTAGCAGTGGTCAAGCTAAATGGGTACGTCAATCTGGTCTTGTTATGCTACAACCTCATGGTCTGGAAGGAATGGTAAGTGCATTTTAAATATTTTTTTTTAGTATATTTATGATATATATATATATATGATAGTGAATAATTCGTTATATTATATTTTTATAGGGACCTGAGCATTCCAGTGCTCGCTTGGAACGTTTTTTACAAATGTCAGCTGATGATCCAGATTATTTTCCTCCTGAAAATGAAGAATTTGCTGTACGCCAGTTGCATGATATCAACTGGATTGTAGCTAATTGCAGTACACCAGCAAATTATTTCCATATTCTAAGAAGACAAATTGCATTGCCATTTAGAAAACCTTTGATTTTAATGACACCCAAATCATTACTTCGTCATCCAGAAGCGAAATCTAGCTTCGATCTAATGCTTGAAAATACAGAGTTTCTTAGAGTAATACCAGAAGGAGGTGTAGCTTCTGAAAATCCTAATAATGTTAAAAGAGTGCTCTTTTGTTCTGGTAAGATTTATTATGATCTAAAAAAAGCACGCGCAGAGAAAAATTTGGATGATAAAGTTGCTATTATAAGAGTTGAACAGGTAAATAATAAATAGCAATAAATATCGAATTTTAAACTTTTTGCTTCTATCGTATTAATTAAAATTATCTGAATTTTTTTATTTATAGATTTCACCTTTCCCATATGATTTAGTTAAAAAAGAAGCTGTTAAATATTCCAATGCAGACTTAGTATGGGCTCAAGAAGAACACAAAAATCAAGGTGCATGGACATATATTCAACCTAGATTCCATACAGCTCTTAATGGAACTCGTTCTGTATCGTAAGTATCAATTTTCTAAAAAAACTATATATTATAAATCACTTTTGTTTTCGTTTTAATGAATTTTTTAGTGTCATATAGTCATTTAATTGATAATTGTACATATAAATTATTAAGAAATACAATTATCATTTTTTTAAATGTTTAATACGTTTTTCACGGCTTTAGCTGTTTACATGGCTCAAGTTTTTTACTTTGTCGTTTTTAATATTATTTATAATATAAAATTTTGATATATATAAATATATCATAATAAGCAATATATTTGCACCAAGTTTGTCACTAATTTGTTTTGTACGCGTGCTTACAAAGTAAACAATTGGGCCATGTTACAGCAGCGGAAATACGTCATACGACAGTAAGGATAGCAGAGGGTGGTTTAGTGGTTGGTTTTCAACTAAACCAACAATTGTGTCCGAGCCACTATCAAAAGAATCTAATAAACCCAAACAGAGAACATTAAGGTAATGTTAATTACAGTATTTAATTAGAATATTTGTTATAATTTTATTCATTCCTTAGTGTTCATGATAATAAATATACAATATTTAACAATAATTAACTTCAATCCGTTTTTTGTTTCAGATATGTTGGTCGACCAACGGGAGCTTCACCCGCAACAGGAAGCAAAATGCAGCATCTCAAAGAATTGAAACAATTACTTGATGATTCCTTCAATCTTTAATTATTCTTCGTAGCACTATGTATAACACATTTTATTATTTTCTTCATTATATTTGTTATATTCTTTTTGTCCTGCTCTACATCACTCTTTTAGAGATTAACATAACTTGCAATTTTCTTCATTATTGATTCATTTAGAATTATCGCACGTACGAATACTTTTTTTAATAATGACAGATTTATTATAAAATTTATCTGTATTAATTCTTTTGTTTTTTAAAAAATTTCTATTTTATATAAGTGCAATGATCGAATCAATAACTTAATATTGCAAAACATTTCTTTGCTTTGATTAAAAAAATAAAAATGATATAAATTCAATGAAAAATCTAAAAATTAATAATAAATATTTGAAGTCGATATTTAAGTTTTGTTTCTAATATAAATATTCTAATATGCAATGAGTAATTCATGAAAATATATGCATTTCATTCTTATTTAATGTTTGAATGCGATTCTGTATATTTTCTTTTTTTTTAAATACATAACATATTTATATTAGTATGCGAGTTGAATGTTGAGCCTAGTGTATGTTTGAGTTCACAAAAATATTTTATTATGTAAATATACCAATTATACACATACACACACACATACACGCGCGCGCGTTTGTGCGACATACACACACATACATATATATAATGTAAATTATATTAGCACGAAACATTTTAGCATGTCTTACTCATTGTTCAGTTGTTAAATTTTAATTATACAATCAAATTATATTAATTAAAAATATTCGTACGTGAGAATACATTTATACTTTATTTTGTTAATATATTGATATAAAATTAATATTATGAGAAATGAAGAGAAAGAAAAGTATTATTTTTAATTTATATGTAACATTTTACGCAGAGCGTAAATATTTCTGTGGTTATGACTGTGGAGATTTAAATTAAACTTTTCAGGGTTGGTAATGTGTATTTACGGCAATTTTTTTTATTCATTTATTTATGCCGTAGTAAAGAACAGCCAATTGATTTAATTCTTTATCGTTGCTCTATTTTTATAAAGAATTAAATGATTGGTAGGATCATAGATAGAATTATATGAAGAAATAGATTGTAACATTAAATTCACTTTCGTAACAAATTATGAAAATGTAAATTTATATAAATTAGAAAAAAAAAAAAGAAAAAATGTTTACGAGATTGAGTTATAATGTTACTCTTTGAAAAGTTTTGAAACATTCTCCCTTTTAAAGAGTCAACTTACTAATGCTAGTGAATATAAAAAGATATATATTTTATTATTATTTTATTTTATCCAACGCGCACGTGTGCACGATATGCGTTGGTTATATAGTCTGCGAAGGCACAGTATTTATATGTATAATTCATTTCAAAAATAGAATTTATGAATGGAATATTTATTGTACCGTATCATTGATTATATTAGTATTCATTGACAATTATTATTTTAAATTCAACTATACAACTTATTATAATTATCTTTTATGTTCTATCTGTAAAAAAATAAAAAAAAATGATACACAATATTTTGTAATCCATTAATACAATATGGTCCAATCAAAATTGCGGTACTGTTATTCCAATCATCAGTTTTTGTTTTATGCATAATAAGGATGATAAATATATGCTTTAATATTAAAAAGAGAATAGATTGATAGATCAGAATTGTTGATGAAAATAAATTGAAATTTACTTATATTAATATACTGCATCGATATATTAGGATAAATATTGTAGCATCTTATTTTGAAATTAAATTATATTAGCTATTATCAAGTATTTCTAAATAATTATTCCCTTTTTAATAATATTCAATATTTTTGTTCAATATTGATTATTATTTAAATGTAAATATAAAAGATATGAGGAAGTAATAAAATAATATTCATTATTTCATATGTGATTCACACTTAATGTTTATTTGCTTGTATGATTTTTAAAATAAGGAAAAATTTAATATACATGATGATATAATTTCTGCATAAATAAAATTCACAGCACCATGTAAAAATTTACAGAAGCTTCATGTTTAATGTTTCATTTAATAATTTTGCATTATTTTAACAAGTTTCTTTTATTATGTTTAATTTTTAATTTGTTGCAATGGACAATAAATAAAATATATATATATATATGTATATTAATAAGATATATTTATAATCAGTTCTTAAATTAATAATCAGTTTGTCCCAAAACACTATACATAATCCTCTTGAAGCTGTTACTTTGATGGATTTTTTCACCATCATCATCGAGAATATTTACCTAGAAAGAAATTATAAATTTCCATTATTCTTGGAAGTAAGCAACAATATTAATAAACTTCACAAATATTGAAAATTATCGTAATGATAACTATTCAACTTGATATTTGAATGAATAATTAAATTGAATTATAATTTTTAGATGAATTTTAGTTTTTCAAATATTTAGGGAAAATTTAGGAAAAAATCTATATTGTCACAAAATATCTATACATAAACATATAATATTATATAAATATATAAAAATTATTCATCTATTCAATTTTGATGTAAAATTTTATAATTGTTCATATAAATTTTTATTTATATGTAAAAAGACCTAAAACTTTGATTCTCGATTAAATAAATATTGATTATTAATTTATCATAATTTCGATATTAAAAATTTTTTAATACAAAAAACGTTATATAATATATATAACGTGATATAAAATAAATAAATGCTAAAATATAACAAAAATTTAAATATTTAAAGTTTTACTTACGTAAGGTCCTGCAGGACTTTTTGGTCGAGGGTGATATACCTGAGAATATTAGTTTATAAAATAAGAAATGAATAATAATAATAATAATTTTAGAGATTTTATTGAATTAATTATTGAATTTAATTATTTTTTATACGTACTCTATTTTGATTAACTTTTTGCGGAGAGAAAACACCGGTGCGTGCCGGTTGTTTCACTTCTTGTACAGTATCGCCGAGCGCTTCTTCTTGCAGAGCCTTGTAAGCCTCGCTTTTACTCGGGTCGTACTTCATAGGTTTCTTCGCGCTGTACCATTACATTGTACACATGGACTATTTTTAATTTATTTGCCTTGATTTTGTCAAATCGATTAGCAATAGCCAGGGTTATATCATCAATTATATTTGTTCGAGAGCGACTTTCAGACTGCTTCCATGCTTTTTTTCATTAATCCTTTTTCATTAGTCATGAATATATCTGAACTAAATTTTTAATGCTTTTTCTCGAGAATCGTATGTGATTTTAATTCTTAATTTTTATTTTTATTAAATATATTATATAATGCTTCATATTGATAATAATTTATAATTCTCGAGAAATGCTTTTTCATTATAAGTACATGTAATTATTATAAAATTAGTAAAGCTACTAATTTACATGAACATTTACTATGATTAATTATTGATTATTTTCAACAATACACCATGCAAATGTATAGTATTGTTATTTTACAAACTTTTTTCGTAACTTATTTTTTAATATTTATGTCGACTCTTTATCAACTCTACTCGATATTATTAATAAAACAAACTGCAATAATTGTATCATAATCCTAATAAATAATGATATTTTACAGACATTTTATTATGAATAATAAACTAAAACAAAACTCATTCGAATAAGTAAACACTTGGTCGAACGCTAATCAAAACTTCAATCACAAATAGTCACGTTCATTTGTCTCATTAAAATAAATAAATAAATAAATAAGAAATATATAATACAATTATTATTTTCAGTAATGAAAAAGAAACAATTTTGAGACAAAAAACGTGATTTATGCGAAAACCGAGAAAAAATTTGAAACTACGAATTTACTATGCACCGTGCGAGAAGCATCGAAAAACGTCTCGAACTGAATATTAATTTGGTTTATTGAATTGCGGCCACACATTCTTCGAGGAGGCGGCTTTAGCCTGTTCTTTCAAGATTCTCGCTTGTTCTTCTATCTCTTGTTTCTGTTTCACGAAGGAAAAATCTATGAAAATGCTGGAAAACAATAAACTGCGCGTGAGTGTGTGTCATTCATTTACAAAGAATATAACAGTGTAAGAACTGAGCTGCGATTTCTTTTCTATGTCCATACTTCTTATATTATGATTATGTTTCCTCGACAGAATCTATCTTCGATTTAATATTTCCAACCAATATCCCTTCCAGATAAAATATAGATCATTCTTCTGATACATCATTATTTAAGAATTATAATTTAAAAATAAATCCGTTAGTCGATGGCGTAAAAAAATTATTAACTGCTCAGAGTTAATAGTTTGATAAGTAGCAGCATTCAGCAAAAATCAAATTGTATTATTAAATCGTATTATTAATGCTAGTAATTTTATTATGCTTTATTTGCAAGCTATATACAGTATATTAACTTTTATTTTGTATAATACTTTTATACTATTATTACTTACGGTATAGCAGATGCTTGGCATTTTATAGTATCGGCAATATTTTCTTCGGAATAGAGTCCGATCGGCGAGTTAAATTGTTTGTGGACAACCTAATAACAAAATTAAATGAGACAATAAATGATAATTACAATATAATTACAAAATAATTAAAATTACTATTGTTGATTTCTTTTCATTTTCTTCTTTTCTTCTTCCTTTTTTTTTTTTTTTTTTTTTTTTTTGCTTTTTTACACAAGTAAATTTCTAAATGTTTACAATTTACTCAAAAACTTATCACTTTTGAAAATATTAATTTAAACATTGCGTTTCATTGTAGCGATATGATACAAGAATTATTCGATAATGTTTGACATATTTGACTTATTTAGTTATATGCAATTTAATTAAATAATTTCAATTCAGCGTCGTAAATTATGCTCGAATATGATATTTAAAGTTGGAAAGAAATCCTCAGATCGAGTTCTCTGATGAGGATTTTTTTTTTCTATATTCTAAATCTAAACTTAATTCAATAAATTCGGTTAGAACAGCCTTTTGCATGAATAACGTTCATAATGTAGATAATATTGAAAATCGATCGAAAATGATTAATTAGCGATAAAAATATCGATCGCATGCCGTATTATTGATTGACATTTGCAAGTGGTCGGAAAAAAAAATTAAAAGATAACGATATCGTTCTTAATCAAAGCAAAAGCATCAGTTGATGATTGAAAGCGAAAGCAACTTGAGAATAAAATAATCCAAACCTTTGGAACTTCATTCGGTCCCAAGACACGTTGAAGTACCGTTTCTGCCACCTAATCAGATGTTATATATTTACAAATTAATATCTTGTAATTGTGATCTTTAATGTTTAACAACATGTTTCGACGAAGAAGAAAGAATTGTTCGTTCTCTTTCAAGCGAATCGGAATAAAGGACAATTTTTCTTTTTTTTTTTTTTTCGTTAAATAAAAGCCGTTTATAACACGAGATCAAACAAAACGCACCTTTTGTTTCATAGCAACTTCTGGATGAGCAGGTTCGTAATGATGCGGCGCCGCCCTGATCATCGGGTTTGGATGATGGCGCAAGTAGCACTCCCCGAGCGGAGCATCCTTTTTGATCTTTGCACCTGGCAAGACCAGAGGTGTTGTGCGGTACGGCTAAATATCAACATGAACAATATTTCAATTAATTTCGACTCGATGAATACGATGTCGTATTCGTTTCGTTTATAAATCATTAGTTTAATCAAATATTTCTGAACTGTATGTCTTAAATGAGGGGAAAGATAAATTTTTTAATAAACCTCGTAAATTTTTTAAACGTTTCCAATAAGCTAAGTAGGCGTGGAAATATTCTGCCAAAACGATGTCAATTACAAACTAATGAAATCTAAAATAAACCTCTTTATGAGGCCGTAGTGACCGATAATATCTCATTAATTTTCAACATCGTTGCGATCTATGAATAACCACGTTTAAAAATACATTTCCACGATATGTTAATACGTTGCTTTTCTATGCTGCTTATCTATTTATATTTTATATTATGTTTTTTTCACAGTGATTTTCATATCAATAATTTTTATGTCGAACAAGGCGAAGCAAGGTATTGATAATTTTGTCAAATATTATCGCGACCAGAAGCGAACACGAACTATAAAATGTATACGATTCGATCGTATTATTATCAGATGAAAGTTGATCATGAGGCAACTGAGATTTCAACTTCTTGGCTCGTATCTTGTCAACGAGAGATTTGCATAAAACATTACGTTGCATTACGAACAACCTGTGCTGCCAAATATTTTCGTTGTTGCGTTGAATTACGAAATTATTAAAAATACAATTGAACAGACTTTTCACGAAAAAGAAAGGACAAAATGACAAAAATGAAGAGACAAACTCGTGAAAAAAAAAAAATGCCGAGATCTTCTTCTTTTTCTTCTTTGTTCGTTTTATGCTTGCTCGATTAGAAGAAGCTCGATGGTTGATTTGAATCGTTGGGTGTCGTCATTGTTAAAATATGACGAAAATCAGAATGTCAAGCGGAACGTTGTAGAAAGAACGTGAACGGTAGGATAAGGTTACGCATCGTATTTATAAGACACAGTTGCAAGAATAGAAGATCGGATTCGAATCCAGCTAGCATCAACTTAGCCTCAAAGAATTGGAACAGAGGCAACAACGATTCGAACAATCGAATGCAACGAGAACGTTGAATTTCACGAGAGATATACGTACCGGATAACGATTATAACTATTTCATTATAAATGGATCGGAAACAGTATTTTACAGAATGAGCAACGGTATCTCTCTCTCGAAATAGACGAAGGCCCCTAGCTGGCAAAAATAACGTGTACCTCGTCTGCTGCGAAATCTTTCTCTGTTGCGATCAATGTTTATCAAGTTTCTATTAATTTTTATTCAATTCTTTTTTAATTGAACAAGTAAATTCAAAGGGAATTAAAATTTCAATCGATTCTTCTTTTTCTTTATCGAGCATATGTATATATATATATATCATTTATAGAAAATGGAAACATTTCGATGAAGCGAATCATTCTTTTTTTTTTGCTATTTAATAAAATATCATCCAATTAAATTCGAATATCGAAACAGTTATTTCAAAAAATATTTATCGATGAATCGAAAAACTACCATTCTAATAATAAGAAAATCTATAATTCTATAATTTCTTTAGTTATAATATACAAGATAGCAAACGTTCTCGATATATTTAATCCATTTCACAGGTTGAAATATTTTCAATTATATACAACGACAAAATTTTCCCTATGTATTTTTCACTTTGCTCACAATGTATCTTTTTTTCAAACCATAACCCGAAAGAATCTTTTTAACGAAACTATTCTTTGGAAAGTGAAGAGGACAAGGTATATCGAGGTTGTATGACCCTCTTGTGTTTGAGTAACCCAGATCTCATTTACGAAAATAGAATAAGATAGCAATGAATAGCCTGTAACGTGGTTACATGCGTTTTATTGCATCGTGTAATGCTATGTAATTCTTCTGTCAACAGAGTCATTTCTTCTCTTTCATTGTATCGTGTTCTTTATTATTATCTATCATTTCGCGTTAAACTTGAACGAAAATTTGTCTCATTGTCTTTTTCAATGTCATACAGGGATAGAATCGAGACCTAGCCCTAGACTCTTACGATGTCAAGGTTGGCACGCGACTTTGTAAGTCGAAATCTAGATCATCTAACGCTACGTTCACTTCTAAAGCAGATACATGACTTTAATGGTTAATTTATATTTTAATATGTTCGGGAAAAGATTCCTTGGATTAAAACGAATAAAAAGGAAAAAAACTTTTCATCAAGAACAACACAATTTTCCTCGATACTACTTTTTGAAAATTAAAGCATCGCAGCATACGCTTATTAAACAAAATGTCAAGGTTGCTCGAGATTCGTTTTCTTTTTTCTCTCGATGAAAATTTCCTTTTCTGTTGATCATCGATGATATTAAAAAAATAATTTCTAATAACGATGAATATAAGCGCATAGAAAATGTGAAACATCACATTCGTAATCGTATTAGTATATTCCGATATTATGATGGTGATGAATTATATCGATATATTTCCTTTGAATTTCAATTGACTTGTTTCGTACCCAAAACACGGCAGCCTCCTCCTCTTTCGGCTGGTGTTCGATGTTGTGACGATAAACGGTCGTATAAGCCGGCATTGTTCTTTAATCGAACCGAAGGTTCGTATTCCTGCAACCGATGATTGACCACTCTCAAGGAAAAAAAATTGATTTCTTTTTTTTTTCCTCGTTTATATCGAGATGTCGTTACACTCTTTCTCTTTTTTCCTGGACCTCTCTCTTCTTACGAATATGTATTCGCTAACGCACTGTCTCGTTGCGCGGGCGGCACTAACTCTGGTCTTTTCCACGCGACTCCTCTTGCGCTCTTTCTTCTCCTCTCCACGTATTACCGACACGTATCTCGATCGTTCCCACGTTTACCCTCTTGATCGGTAATACGATCCTTATCTTTCATTTCGTTTCGTTTTCTTTTTTTTTATAATTCTTTTTCAATTTTTGTTTCATCAACTTCTTTCCAGATGTAAAAATTCTGTTATATCGTATAAATAATCGTTTCTAGGGAGCGATTACGTTAATTCATTCATTTTCAATTTCGACTTTTATTTTTTTCACTGCAATTTAAAATGATATTTTTAATCGATTGTGTCACATTTGGACTCGTACCAAATCTTGAAAAAGCTTCAGAATATTCATAATAGTTTGAAACAACACGAATGTTTATTGTTTATACCATTGTTTAAATATCTCGAGACTTTCACCGCTTATCCCTATGCGCTTGCCACGTTCATTGAGCATCAAGCAACCAATGCTTTCTTTAGTTTAATGGATCGATCTATGGCTTCGACCTTGGACGAAAAAGTTGTTGTTTTCCTTGGCAGCATCCCTTTTCATCAGAATGTGAATGCTCAACATGTAATGCATTCTCTCGTGAACACCGTTATTGACTTTTCCTTTCTTTTCTGTCAAGATTTTTCCCATAACGCAACGCTTTTAATACTTAACGTAAATTTGATTTCATTCCATGAAATGATAGGAAATGTACAGGAATGTGTGTACATTACGTGATACGTCCCGTTCTTTCCTGGAAATTTGTTCAGATCGATATTTCGTTATTGAAATCGACGACAGGACGACAAGAATGTTTTTTAAACGGAGGCTAGGATCGAAATAGTGTTCCGAAATCGTCCTGGATCGCGTAGTATTGGATCGGAGCGGTGGTTTCGATGCAAAAGCGATATTTATAGCGTGGCAACTGCCTCTACTACGGACTTTCCGGCATCGTAGCGGGCCAACAAAAATATATTCACACTTCGAACATCTCACGGAATAAAGGCGTCTTATGTATTATTTCTCACGAAATTATTACACATGCACACATGTGTATATACACGTGTATATCGATTTTCAAATTTTCCTCGACCGTTCCGATTCCATTTAACGAAGTCGACGAGCTGTATATCGTTACGATAAGAATTTTCATCAACGGCGTAAATTCAAATTCAAACTGGTTGTGATGGATCAACAACCAGAAACTTGAAGGGGAGACACATACACACGCACACAGAGACAATTCGTTCAATGAACGAACGAATTCTTCTTTGACGAATGACTCGATGACTTATGTTTTACGATCATGCGTAGATAACTTCGTATTAAATGTCTGAATCTAATCTATACGTTTCCCAGAGATTGAAACGTACTATTTGAAGTGCATGTTGAAACGGAATGCGGAAATAATGAATTAACTTCGACAAATATTCTGTCATCTCGCATCTCCCCCCCGGTGATAATTCAACTATAAGTTATTGAATTTCAAACTGGTTTTCGATTTATTTCAGAACGCGCAACTTGCCAAATGTGATCGTCTGCCCCGCTCTTTGAAATCTAATAATTTACACAGATATACGTTTACACGGTATAATTACATATGTGCGTGAATTGATTACACGAGAGACGACAATACAAACTATGAGGAAAACTATAAAGCCGTCTCAGGTGACAAAATATTATGATGAAAAAAAACATGCATTACATATTTTGAGATGTAAGAAAAGACGAAAGATTCGTAAAAACTTCAAAAGAATGCATTCAACAAATGTGTTAAAGATGCACGATTCTCGTTTTTCTTTAGAGATACGTTGGTACGTTGTATTTACGAGTCAACGAACTTCTCTTTAAACTAAGCAGGCGGCGTTTACATTTTCAACAAATTTAGGAAGCGCTAAAACGCAGTTTCGCCTTAGAGAATCGAAAGATCGAAATTGCAATCTCCTCTGCCATTGTCTTTACGAAACGAATTACTGTATTCGATATCTTTTCCATAAATACAGTTTCTAAGATAGAAAGATCGAGCAAAGAGGCCTGTTGTTCAAACGGTTGACCATATTACGTATTTACGTGTCTCATTGTTGAATCAATTTTATTACAAATTAAATACGAATTTAAGGATAGAATTTACAAAATTCTTAAAAATTGCAAGAGCCTCGAGAGAGTTTTAATCTTAAAATGGATTTGCACGATGGATTTATAATTTGTTTGCTCACTCTTGAATGAATTCGTGCTACGTGAACTGTGTTCTATTCAAATATACCTGCGACAAATAGGCTCTCTCCTCGCGAACTTCATCGAGATGCTCGTGTGGCAAGTAAAGGCGATCCGGCGAGGGTGTGGGCCGATTGTATTCGTCGATGGAAGGCGGTGGTACAGGACTCTTCGGTAATTCCGGCGGTAATTTCCGTTGTTTGGCTCTATATCGAAATAGGAAAGCACCTTATTTAATGCGAAAATAGTGCGAAAAGAATTCTCAAAAATCTCACGAGAGCCTCGATGATATTTTCGACGATCATTTTCAATCATCCGGATTGTCGCACAGATTGCATTATTTGACATTAATATAGCATGCATGTGCGTAGCGAAAGTACGAACGATTAGAAGCATGATGAAAGCTGATCGAGGCCTGTATTAGAAAAAAAGTAATAACTTAAAGCTATTGTTTTTTTATTTTAACCTTTAAACTTTTGTACATCAACTTTTTAAATTAATTTTGATTTCATTTAATTCCCCGCAAATAAAATATATTTGGAGCAAGAAGGAAAATGATCGTCGAATTAACGATGATATTTCTTGATGTGGTGAGCTGTCAATCAGGCGCTGCGATTAAAGCATGTTAAAAAAAAAAAAAAAAAAAATAATTGGAAAAAAGATCTGAATACAAAGCGTTAATAATCAATTTTTACGTAGCGATAATAGCATAGCGATAGCGATGCTATAAATCGAGCGCATAATAACAAAGGTGGAATTGCTTTCTGACAGACTAGTGACCGCAGCCCTGTCGCCAGTGTTCAACTCGAAAATCGGAGATGACGTGGTAATGTTGATACGAGATGCTTTCGACGGCTCAGACCTTTCGATCACGAGCCTTATTGATTCAGAGTTTTGAAGAAGATTCTGGGCGTCTACATGCCTCACATCTCGCGCGTCGTAATCATCAATTTTCTTGATCACATCACCCCTCTGGAGCGTCTCGTTCTCCGACTGTAAGTAAAAAAAAAAAATTTCACCATAATAAGATAACTATCCCATGTAGTGATTTTATTAATCGATTAATTAAATTACATAAAAATTCTATTCTATCGAGATATCATCGTCGAAAATATATATGTTATATATATGTAAACAAGCATAAACGTTAATTTTTATTAGCTGTGTTATCAACAAATTTAGTTTTAAGCTAATCTTCAGAAACACAAATATTGTAAACATTAATTTTTAATTCGTTTTAATTTATCGTGGAAAAGAAACGTATGGGCTTTCTTTTTTATTTAATCCGGAACCATGTAATAAAGTAATATGGAATTATGCTTGAATGATTTGGACCACGTTCAAATGCGTCTATGATTTCTCTTTATTGCATTTAATAATCATGCCAGAGAGAATGCCAGTCGAGAGAGGATCGAAAAGATGCACGAGATTAGGTCACACGTGTTGGCTAGATATGATCACGATATTTAACCATTATATGCATATGATGTGATAAAATTTGCAAGTTTTCTTTTCTTTTTTTTTTTTTTGTTTTAAAAACGTGACAATACAATATTAATTTTCGAATAAAAATCTGTTTATATTCGTATATATATATATATTGAATTAAGTATCAATACAACACAAGTATATATAAGCAGGAGTTTTATTAGAGAATAAATATCTATTCTTTGCAGTTTTCTTTTTTTTTTTTTCTTTTTCTTTCTATTTACACAATAAATAAAGATTTGCCATATGTCCAATAATATTTATAGGCAGCAAGCTATTCGCATCTAACAATAGTAGATCGATACATGTATTAAGCGGAATTGCTCGTTGAAAAATGAGATGAAAGGAAAACTCACGCGGGTGACGACGATCGGCGTACCCAAATCAGCGCCTCCGGCGATACGTATTCCCCAAGGTTTGCCGGTGCTGGATCTCTTAAGCTTCACGATTATTGTTTGTTTCCTCGTCATGCTCTATTCTGTCTATCAGAACAACGCAATCCCTTGTTTATAAAGAAATCAATCAGGGCCAATTGTGTTAGGTTGAAAATTGGAAATAAGATAGGAGCGAGAGAAATCCGAGAAAAATTTAAAAAAAAAAAAAGAAAAAGAAATGAACAATTTTTCTGATTGTAAATCAGGAAATCAAACTGCGAAATCGATGATAAAAGTTGAAATGATATGAATTTACGACGAGTCGAAGCAATATCGAACCCGTGCTTACGCTCTTTACTGGCAAACGAGAACTACTGGCTGCACTGCCACTTGATTTTGACAGGGTTTACTTCTGCGAGCTTAGTTACCCAACTACCGGTCCGCCGCTTCTGCTATTCTGGCCCCATTTCGAATTGGCATACCGTATGTATTGTTCTGGTCCGACCTGCACTCGTTTCTCTGGCATTTACGGCCTCCTATCTTTGCTATGCACATTGATAGGATCTCTAATGATCTCGTATAAAAGTATATGTATCGCACGATTAAAATTAATAATAAATTTTCACCATGATCATCGCCACTTTCAAAGGGCAATCTTCATTTTATGAAGCGAATTTTCAGACGATGCGACGAATACAATAAGGTAACTTAGAAATTTGTTACACATATAGAAATGTTTCAATTATACGACGATATATCTACATCAGGAATCAGGAAAGCTTTTCTGACGAGCACTAAATAAATATGTTGAATTAAACATAAATCGTTTTATTAATACATTCGGAAAACAATTCAATGGGTTCTTTTCTTCAAATTCACGAAGGAAAAATACATCCATGTGGATACATAATGGCACAATACTATAATGTAGAAAAAGAACAATGCAGGATAAAATATGTGCTATGTATATATGTATTGAATATTCATATTATATTATCAATAATATACAAAGGAAGATAAATAAAAAAAAAAATTTTTTTAGAATTTGATGAAGAACTTGTTGCATACTCACATAAGTTTCGTAAAAGTTGCTTATGGAGAACTTAAGAGACATTTTTTTTTCGTTTCACGGAATTCTCAACACTGCACTGCACTTTATTCTCTTTCACAATGACATCTGCGAATACTTCCTCACCCTTCGAAACTTCCTCTTCCCTATGTAGCTTCGATCTAATTACTTTGACTGCACTGTGATTAATGAAACTAAATCAAGAAAGAAACAAGAAAAGATAGTACATAGACTAAACTGAGAGAAAGAGAGTGTAGTATGTAAGTTTGACTTAAATTAGCAACCTATAGCGCGAAAGGTTAGTCAATCATAGTTTTAAGATAGTGTCGTTCTAGTGACTCATTTATCTCAATTTATACAATTCTAAAAAAAATACACATATCAAAGTGATGTGTAAATAGGCAATAAATTATATATTATTTGTTTGTCAATAGCTCGATATAGTATTGTTAATCTGTTAAAAAAAATAAATATGAATATTTGTATAGTGATCAACTGAAAATTTTTAAAAATTTTTAAATAATTGCTATGATAAGGAATAAAATAATATATATCATTAAAATTAATCAATATATATTTTTATTTTTGATCTTTAGAAAAGATAAAGTGTATATATATATATATATTAAAACCATTTTAAAAAAATTACTTAAATTATAATGTTTTCAAGAGATTCAAATTAATAGTATTTTTATTCATGAGTATTCTTCGCTAATCGCTCTACTAATTACCATTCGACGAATCTCACTGGTACCAGCACCAATTTCATATAATTTTGCATCCCTTAATAATCTTCCAGTAGGATAGTCATTTATATAGCCATTTCCACCTATAAAAATTATGTAGATTTAAAGAAATATTTAAAAGCAATAAATTTTTGTCAAAGATAAATAATTTACCTAGTATTTGAATTGCGTCCAACGCAACATTGGTCGCGCATTCAGCAATGTGAAGTATTACCGCGGCACAATCTTTTCGATTTATATATCCTGCATCACAAGATCTAGCTACAGAATACAAATAACTTCTACAAGCACTTAAACTCGTATACATGTTTGCAATTTTCCCCTAAAATATTAATATCATTTTTAAATATTTAAAAGTTTTAACACAAATACATAAGAAAAAAAATTAATACACCTGTATCATTTGAAATTCTGCTATACGTTTTTCAAATTGCTTCCTCACATGTGCATATTCAAATGCCACGTCGCAACAAGCCTGAATGATTCTAAAATGATGTAAAATATATATCAGAATATATATCAAAATATATATATCAAAATAAATTTGTAAAACTTAATATAGCTAAAAATCTTACCCTAAAGGGCCTGCTGCTAACATTACACGTTCCAAATCTAGGCCACTAAATAATACGTAAATACCTTTGTTTACTTGTCCAAGTACATTTTTAACTATAATTAATAATAATGATTTATAGAACGTAAAGAGAACGTAAGAATAAAACATCAAAGTTTTATTCAATTTATAAAGACAATATTACCTGGAACTTTACAATCTTGAAATATAAGTTCACCAGTGTTAGAACCTCGCATACCTAATTTATCTAATTTTTGAGTTGTACTAAAACCTTCGAAATCTCGTTCTACGATAAATGCCGTAATACCATGTTGCTGTTTAATCGCATTTGGGTCCGTTTTTGCGTAAACGATAAGAGTATCAGCATCAGGACCATTTGTAATCCAAAATTTATGACCGTTTAAAATATAATAATCACCCTTTCTTTCAGCTTGCAATTTCATAGAAACTACGTCGGATCCGGATGTCGATTCTGACATCGCAAGCGCTCCGATATGTTCTCCGCTACATAACTATATACAAAATTCAAATATATTATATATATTACATACATATTACACACATATACAAAACAAAATAGTTATCAAATTTAATATTTGCAATATTACCTTTGGCAAATATTTATGCTTTTGTTCTTCTGTCCCATTTCTGTGGATTTGATTTACACATAAATTTGAATGTGCGCCATAACTAAGACCTATGGCTGCAGATGCCCTACTCAATTCCTCTATAACAATGACATTATCTAAATACGTACCACCTGTACCACCATATTCAGATTTTGCAGTTATTCCTAATAAACCTAACTTGCCGAGTTTCTTCCAGAATTCCTAAAAATAATAAATATAGTCAAAATAATATTTTATTCTTCCTAAAATATTCCGTTACTTACTCGGAGTTCATCGAAATTATTCTTCTTGTCAATTTCAGCCGCTTTTGGAGCAAGTTCTTTTTGAGCGAAATTAAATATCAATTGTCGTAGCTATAAAAAAAATAACATGTTTTTTTCTTTATTAATATCCATATTAATTTTTTATCATAATTGGGGTAAATAGAAAAAATTGAATTTCATTCATTAAGATATCGATTAAAATTTAAATCGATATTATTAAAATATTTGTATTGAATATCAAGTTCAGTGTTATAATAAGTCAAAATATATTCTATTCAATTCCATTATAATTTTACTAACCTCTTTCTGTTGTTCATTTAATCCAAATATATTATCATCTATTTTGTAATATTGGGAAAAATATCTTATATTAAATATTTTATTCGATATTGAAATTTTTGTTAAAAATGATTTCGTAAATTTATTAATAAAAAATTTCATATTTTTATATTAATCCAGAATTTTATATAAAATTAATATACACTTATAACGGTATATGTACAAAATCGTAATTATCTTACATTTAATCAACATTACTTATACATAAAAATAATCATATTTATATCTATTTAAATAACTAAAATTTTTTATTTTTTTATTTTTTTTATTAATACTCTTAAAATATTGATATAAATCTCTCGTATTATTTAATTTTAATATAATTAAATAGATGATAGATTTTATAAAATAATTCATTATAAATAATATAATGTGCTACAACATGCTTCTTATTTAAGTATGAAGTATATATATATATATATATATATTGTATTCACATTACCTTTTGATCATGTGTTTACATCAAATTTATTCAATTTTCATATTTATACGTATAAATATTGTTTCCTTGTATTTATTTTTCACATGTAATTAATAATAATTTTTTAATAATTTTTTAATAATTTATATTGTGTTACATTTTCATATTATTATGAATATTACTACGAAAATAATTCGATTAAATATAGGTTAAAAGAATACAGTAAAAAAATTATCTTTTTTATCAAGATTTTTTAATATATTGAATATTATAATTTTATATTTTTTATAAATATAAAAATGGGAGAAATGAAAATTAATGTTCACAGTCGTATTAAATCGGAAGAAAAATTTAATAAAGTAGTGAAACACATTCAGGTATGAAAAAGGTTATATCAAGTTTATTATAAAATAATTGATAATAAAATCATATTTATAGGATAAATGGAAACTCGTACCTGCTTTTCTTAAGGGAAAAGGTCTTGTTAAGCAACATATTGATTCCTTTAATTATTTTATAAATGTGGAAATAAAAAAAATTGTAAAAGCAAATGAAAAAGTACTTAGTGACGCCGATCCTTTATTTTATGTAAAGTAAGTAATATTATCAATGTATAATATTATTATATTATCAATTATATTTTATCATGTAGCATATTTTTTTTACAGATATTTAAATGTTCATGTTGGTTTACCTGATGTTGAAGAAGGTTTTAATGTAACACGTTCTACTACGCCACATGAATGTCGTTTAAGGGATTTAAATTATTCTGCTCCGATTACAGTTGATATTGAATACATTAGAGGTCATCAACCAATAATTAAAAATAATTTACTGATTGGAAGGTATAAAGTAGAAATTTGAAAATAATAATAATTATCAATATAAATATAAAATTATTATATAAAAAGAATTATTAATTATTAATATAAAAAGAATTATTTTCTTTTTTAGGATGCCTATTATGCTAAGAAGTTCAAATTGTGTATTAACTGGCAAATCTCATTTTGAATTGGCAAAAATGAACGAATGTCCTCATGACCCTGGCGGTTATTTTATAGTAAATGGTCAAGAAAAAGTAATTTTGATACAAGAGCAAATGCTTAGAAATAGAATTATTCTTGAAGAAGATAGTAAGGGATGTATTGTCGCATCTTGTAATAGTGTTACTCATGAAAGGAAAACGAAAACTAATATAGTGGGCAGAGCTGGAAGATATTATATGAGACATAATATTTTTCAAGATGTAAGTAAACTTTAACTTATGAAGTAAAATTTTGATTATATTTTATAAAACATGTATTATTAGGATATACCTGTGACAATAATATTTAAAGCAATGGGAATTGTAAGTGATCAAGAAATTATGCAACTTATTGGTACAGAAGAAGAATTTATGAAAAAATTTGCACCAAGTTTAGAAGAATGTCATGTTTTAAATGTATTTGCTCAAAATCAGGCATTAAGGTATTAATTTAGTTTAAGAACTAATAATAATAATATTAATATGTATATAATATAAATTATAAATTATAAATATTAATTTCAAATGATGTTTTAGATTTCTTAGTAATAAAAGAAAACAAAAAAGATACTCAGTCATAAAATCTAGTATTACAGATGAAATGAAAGATGCATTGGCAACTAATATTTTATCACATGTTCCTGTTAGTAATTTAAAAATAATAATTATTAAACATTGATTATTGCGAATAATATAATATTGTTAATATCTATTATAGGTCATAGATTTTAATTTTAAGATGAAAGCAACTTACATTGCTTTAATGATTCGTAAAGTTATGAAAGCACAATCCGATGGAAAACTTGTAGATGATAGAGATTATTATGGTAATAAACGATTAGAATTGGCTGGTTCTTTGCTATCTTTGATGTTTGAAGACTTATTTAAAAGATTTAATTGGGAGGTAACACAATACATGATAATATATTAAATAATTCTATTAAAGTTTATAAAAATTGTAATTTTTGACATTATATTTATAGTTAAAACAAATAGCTGATAAAAATATACCAAAAATTAAAGCTGCACAATTTGATATTGTAAAACATATGAGACAAGATCAAATTACCAATGGATTAGCTTTTGCCATATCATCTGTGAGTAAATAAAATATAAAACGCACAGAAATTTTTAAAGATTTAATTAAAAAAATTATATTTAATAGGGTAATTGGACGATTAAACGATTTAAAATGGAACGACATGGAGTTACTCAAGTTTTATCTAGACTTTCT